ATATTCAATAACAATAAACTTCAATCACAATCCCTAGTAACAACACTAAAATTTGATGGCATGTCATACATCCAACTAATCGGTTATTTATCCGTGTCTTTACGTAACTTTTAATCATGGGTATGTAATCATAGCAAGTAAGGGTCGAACCTACAAGGAAAGGGAATCAATTAATTGTTTCGATTGTTTGAGTGTTCTTATAGCATAAAAGGAGGTTTTTTATGTTTAAGATGCTTGAAAATAATATAAAGTAGCAAAAGATAATAATATGAAAGATGCCTTGGTCGAACTTTAGTGTCCACTTTTGGTTTGATCGCCGATCATTGATTAAATAATTAATTAATCCTAAATGTGAATATTCACTATAAGACAATAACATGTATTTTAACCCCAATATTTCCTTACCTTGTCGTTGACTGATTATACGATACCTAATTAATTCCCTACCTATTGAACAACCTATTAAGAACTAGATATATTTAATCCAATAATAGCATTAAGATGAGAAAGACAAGTGAAGCTAAGCCACCTTCCTAAGCACTAGAGAAGTTGTAACCTAGTTTAATTTTTCTAAGAAATTGAACAAAAACATCATATAATCATCAACCCTAGCTACTACACAGGCAAGTTTAGACAAGCAATTTCATAAACTTAAATACTTAGTTAATAATAAGTAATATGAATAAATAACTAACATGCACTCTAATTAATTTAATTATATAACTATGAACCAATCATGTAGAAAAATATAAAATACCCAATAGAGATAAGTTTAAAAATAAAACCAATAATCTTATAGTGATTATTTTTAACACAAAATTCGAATGTAATCTAATTCTCAAAAACCTCTACAATTCAAAATTTTCTCCTTAAACCATTTGGCCATTTTCATGCAAAATTCAGCATTCCTAAAATTTTAACACACATTCCCCACTTGTTTCATATGTTCCAAATACTTAGGAATAAATAAATGATGATTAAAATTAGCCGAACCTTTCACCTAAAAAATCCCCACACAAGCACCCAAACACATTAGCATCAAAATATTAAAATGGCACACACAAGTAATCCTTCACTTAGTATATGTATGTGTGTGTGTGTGTGTGTGTCTATATATATATATATATATATATATATATATATATATTGGATATTTCAGCCTACATATATATTGATTCATAATTAAGGATTTTACGAGAGTTACATAGAATCAAAAGATGTTATGATGACTTAAATTCTCCATGATGTATCTAATCATAATATCCCGGCAAAAAAATCTTAAGCACAAATGGTATTTTACCATTTTAACCTTCTCAAATATTCTATTTCGACACTTATTATGATTACAAGGATACCTTATTTTGATTCTATATATACATTCAAGATGAGTGACATAAAATACAATAAATTATTCAACCGCTTTGACAAACTCATCATTTAATAACCAATAAACTAACCTAACATTCATCCATTATCGTTTGAATCGTTCTTTTTTTAATGTTTACAAAAGTTACACAACACATACAAATAATTCTTGATCAATATTCTTATTAAAAAAAAAGAAGACAAAATCTCTCTTATAAATTAGACGTTTATTGATTTCCAAATAAAATACAAAACATATGCCAAGCATAATTCAATTAATCAATATCATACAAACATCAATCAACTATCAATTTAAACTCCGGGATCGACATTTGTCTCGGATAATTCATTAAAATTAAATCTCAAACTCATCCTTCCAGCTCCATTACAAAGCATTAAACCAACCTTATTTCTCCTCAATTCTCAAGGATCTCGAATCCCTCAAGTTCTATATGTTATCGCGTATCTCGAGTACACTTTAGTGATAATAAAATAAATAATTAAAACATATAATTCTAATTCAAAGCAAATTTAAAATAAACTTTAGTTTAAATACACTTAACAAATTAATCAAAGTTAACCTAATTACATTTAAAATAACTATTAGTTAACCTATTAATAAAATTAAAATGTAACAAATTATTATTTTTTAAGTTAATCTAAATATTATTTTATCCGAAAAAATAGTTAAAGAAGTAACATATTACTATTACCGTGTTTTATTTTTCTTTAATCTAATTCAATATTTTAGATAAAAAAAATAGTTTACTTACCGAATTATTGCTACTATTGTATTTTGGTTATCTTTAATATAATTTAATATTTTATAGAATTTTGATTATTTGATTGATTGGTAATTATTTTAAAAAATATTATTAAGTGACAAGTACGAACTCAAGTTTCATAATTTATTTATTTATTTATTTTTGAAAAAACCATGCAAATTAAAATTAAAAAGTAACAAAATAAATCTAATTAAATTAACTTTAATTAAAAAAACATAATTAATCAAATTAACCAATTAATCAATATTAACATACTTATTCATTTAACATATAATTAATCGAATTCACCTAATTAAAATTAACCTACCTCAATTAGCACTAATTCAGATTAATTAATTAAATTTATAAAGGAAAATTAACATAATTCAGTTAAAAGTAATTTAAATTAACCCGAATTAACCCTAATTTAAATTAAAATTAACATAATATAGGTCACCCTAAGTAAATTAATCTAATTAGTCCACTAATAACTAATTTAAATTAACCATAATTAACCCTATTTGAAATTAACTTAATTCAATTAGCACTAAGAATCATTAATTCACTTATTTATTATTTGTTTGTTTTATTCGATAATTTGGTTCCACCAAGCAAATGCTCTACAAAAATCACTATAATTTTCAAAAAGCAATTGAATGTCGCCGGCTCCATATGAAAGTTTGTTTCTATAGAGATGAAAGACTTCTACTTTAATGAGTTTAGGATAACATATTAATTATTTATTTATATTTCATTTAAAATTTTAATTTAAAATAAAAAGCACTACTATTTTTTTCATGTAAAAGTACTTTTTTAGAGATGCGATTGTTGACATGTTGATTAAGGATGCATGAGAGAGTTTAGCACGAAGATGATATGATGACATACTTAACAAGTTGAAGCATAAGAGTAACAAACTTACACTTGTTAAATAGGAGGTATGGAAAGCATGGCATCGGGATTGAGCCACTTTTGAGTATCAAGCCTAATCTCGGTAAGTGCCTCGAAACTGCATGTTAGAGATAGGTGATGTCGGTGGTAGCTCATTTAAACATACTAAGGGTCCATCTATTTGATTGAATATGCTAAGAATTTTGTAAATCCTATATTATCTATTATGTTATAGATTAATTTTTACATTTATTGCATGTCATATTATTTTATTTATTTATTTTAGTCTAACAAATTGGCTTATAACCCAAATACTTATAAGTCAGTTTGTGATCACTCTCGAGCAAAAAGATAGATCATTCATTGACTAGCGATCACAAAGAGTAATGGTAAGGTTTTATATTTTTTAAAATATATAAACATCTATTGATATATTCTAGAAATATATTTATAATTTAATATTATAATTATTTTAATGACATAGAAGTGTGTGTAATTAATGTAAAAAGCGACTATCGAAGAGCGAGTAAAAGGGTGATTCATCGTCTCTAAATATTGACGTGTCCAAGATATATTTGGATGTTGTCGAAGGAGAGAAGTAAAGAGTGTACAACATCGGATCTTATGTGTCTTGATATCACTCACATTCCGATGTTAGCTCCTCATCCGTCACTTTGCGGTATTCTAGTGATAATATCCGAAGGTTTTTTTTCTAGTATGAAGATAGGATCAAATGGATGGAGCCTACCATCCAACAACAAGTCGATCAAATTAGCATCATACGAGTTAGTTGTAGACTAGCTTCTCTCTTACCGACCCTCACACATATCAAAAGTCAACTGGTTCTCTTAACATTCAACGAGTCGAAAAATGATGCAAGAGATGATGATAATGAGAATTAGATTTTTTATTTTTTATTTTTAAAAAATTAATATTTTTATACACCTTAACATATTTATATATTTATTTTATTTCAATTTATACTATTTTAATTTTATTAAATAATATCTCATATTTTAATGAGGTATTACTTATAATTATTTGTTATTACAATTAACAATATAGGCCAATTGATTTTTTTAAAAAAAATTCTTATTTGGAAACGAATTTAATGATAGAATTGCGAGGATATTTAGCGATGGAGAATTATACGGTCGCTAAATAGCGATGGATTTAGTGATGGAATTACGAGGATTTAAATAACTATAGTTTAGCGACACTCATTCCGTCGCTATTTAGGGACAAATTTATATGAAAATAGCAACGACATGATGACCGATATAAGACCTTACGGACGATTATTTTAGATCGATTTAGCGATAAAAATTCAACAAATTAGTTACAAAAAAAATTGATCGCTAAGAAAAAAGCAATGACAATATTAGTGACGAAATTCATATTGTCTCTAATCCGTCGGTATACGCTAATTATATACAGCGATAGATTTTTAACATATAGCCACGGAAAAATCCGTCGCTATATGCCAAATTTTTGGTAGGGTATAATGTTGAATTTAATTAATTGATATCAACATATTTCTTTTCCTCTATATAATTAAGTTCTTGAAATCTTTTAATCAAGTATTCAAAACTGCATTGCAAATAAAATATAAAAAATAAAATTATCTTACCACTTGTTGAACATGGAGCTGAAAACACTAGTATGTATAAATGATCATATAATCATTCGACACAAGTCACTGTTGTGTTTTAGACATAAAAGAAGGGGAAGTGGTAAATGGTAACTAGGCCTGCTGCCTAAAAGTAAAAGAATTCACGAACGCACATTTTTAAAAAAAATGTAGAATCTCTTATCATTGTTTGTTGTTTATAATCATTAACTTTTACCCCGACATCCAATTTTATTTATTTATTTATTTTTATTTTTATCCTCCAATTGCTTGCCTCTATATTTTACCAATTAGTGGGATTTCCCTTTGCTTTTGTCTGAAGAAAGCGGCTTGGGGCATTTTCGCAATAGAGAATTAATGGTTGGAGTGGATTGGAAAGAGACAAGCCCGTCCAAAAGAAAAGCCATCGTGACAAAGAAAATGAGAAAGACCACAACTGGAGCCATTTAAAACCAGTTAGGAGGCAAGAGCCAAGAGCCGAAGGCAACACTGGGAAGGAAGCTAAAACCTCTTGACCCCAAAAAATATTCATACAAGTAAAGAAAAGAATTCACAATTTCCCTTTACCCCTTCCTTCTCTCTATATCTATTCTCTTCCCATCTCAGTTTAGAACTCCCAAGATCCCCATCCGCTGTCTCTGTCATTGTCTCTCTCTCTCTCTCTTTCTTCCATGGCGTTGTTTTTTAGCAGAATTGCCATTATTCATATTCTTCTTCTATTTTTCCTAACTTTTTCAGGTACTACTATTTTTATCTGTCTTACCTGTATATGATGCATTTCTATTTCCTTAGCCATTTCATTTTCCGAAGCTTCAATAATATGAATGTTCATTTAAATGTTTTTTTTTTATTTTTTTTATTTTTTTTATTTTTTTATTTTTATTTTGTTTCCTGCGTTTCCTCTGATTAATGTTATTACCTGTGTATTTAACAGATAATTATGGTTTTCTACGAAGAGTCACTTCCCTTGGTATCAACTATGGCCAAGTTGCCAACAATTTGCCACAGCCCGAGAAGGTTCTTGATCTCTTGAGCTCCCTTAAGCTCACAAAAGCAAGAATCTATGATACCAATCCTCAAGTATTGACAGCATTTGCCAACTCCAACATTGAGTTGATTGTCACTGTAGAAAACCAAATGCTAGCTGTTCTAATGGACCCTCAGCAAGCCATTCAATGGGTTAGTACCCACATCAAGCCATATTTTCCAGCCACAAGAATCACAGAAATCGCTGTAGGAAATGAGGTCTTCACCGATGATGACACAACATTATTAACCTATCTTGTTCCAGCCATAGTCAGCATTCATGGCGCGCTTTCTCAACTAGGCCTAGATAGTTACATTCAAGTCTCAACACCCAATTCTTTAGCAGTGCTCGCTGAATCATACCCTCCTTCAGCGGGCAGTTTCAAACCTGAGGTCTCAGGAGTCATGTCACAATATTTACAGTTCTTGTCCAGCACTAAAGCACCATTTTGGATCAATGCATATCCATATTTCGCTTACAAGGATAAACCTGATGAGGTACCCTTGAATTATGTGCTTTTAAACCCTAATGCAGGCATGGTTGACCCCTACACCAAGTTACACTACGACAATATGTTGTATGCTCAGGTAGATGCTGTTATTTTTGCTATTGCCAGAATGGGTTTTGGCGGAATTGAGGTTAGGGTCTCAGAAACTGGTTGGCCATCAAAAGGGGACGCCAATGAAGTTGGTGCCACCATTGAGAATGCCGCAGCTTATAACAAAAATATTTTGAGGAGGCAATTCAAGAACGAAGGTACACCTTTGCGGCCTAATATGAGGCTCGAAGTCTATTTGTTTGCTTTGTTCAACGAGGATTTGAAGACTGGACCGACATCAGAGAGAAATTATGGCCTCTTTCAACCTGATTGTACCATGGTCTACAATGTGGGGATCTCTGCCCTTTCCAGTCCATCATCGACCTCATCGGCTTCTATTTCTCTTGCTTCTGCGGCCACAAAGGTAAAAACGTAGGTTTCAATTCAATTAAGCATTTGTTAATATGTCTTCAATTTGATTAATTTTAGGGTAATTAAATAGAATTTATGCATAAAATATGAAAAATGTATCGAGCAAAAAGTGTATGAATGCCACATATGTAATGGACCCCTGTATATAACATTGCAAACCTTTTTAGACAGAAAAAATTGAGCTAATGGATATATATAGATATATGCTGATATATACTATATCAGTTTCTGTTCAATGCTATTAAAGATTAATCTTTGCTTGGTGAAACAACATAATCTAATTCTTTCTTTTCTTTCCTTTTCTTTCCTTTCCTTTTCTCCTTAAATGGCGATTACTGTGAAACAGGATACAAACACGGAAAGCCTGATGTACTGGATTTTTGTGTGTTTGCTGACGTTCCAAGTTCTTATGAGAAGAGAAAATTAGGCCCGCGATGGAGTTGTTGTAAATATATATCTATTAGTTTTTGGTGACAAACATTGGGGTCTTTGTTTTTTTCAGTTCTTTTCTGTTGCGTAATCTTTAAAGAACAGATCCCACGAGCACCAAATCAGAAAGCAACGATCCCATTTTGCACAAAGTTACCAACCAATGAACCTCAAAATATTGACAATTGGCAGCACCCTCCACTATGAATTACACCCTTTCCGGCATCTTGCAGTACTCTCGTTCAGGAATTCAGCTTAGGTTCCACAAAACAACAAAGGATAGCATTTCTTTGATTGTAATTATGCCAGGCATTTAGAAAATTAATTTGTCTTACCTTTTCATTAATTTGCTAATTTGTCATTCTAGGACATATTTATGTGCTATGTAATATGCCTTGTTATTAGGGACAAAATAACGAGTAATGGCAGTTATAACATTGTCAATCCCTCCCTTATTGGTTGCAAAGAAAAGCACCTCCCTACTTTTGGACGTGGAATCCATCACCGACCTTTTATATACAAAGATTTCACAACTTTGCTTTATCCTCTCTCTCTCTCTCCTTTCTCTCTCTCTCTTTATATATGTATGCATCATATAACATATAGTATGAATGAAGGAAAAGCGTATAAAATATGTTTGGGATAATGAAGAGCAGCTGCAGGTCTTAAAGGGGAGGCTCCGTTTGGTTCTTTTTTTTTTTTTTCTTTTATCCTGAAGCGGAAATTGAGACCAGCTTTATTCCCTTGGCCAATATAACCGTCAGCATTGAGTCATTTGGAATCCTTTTGGCAAAGGAGCTTTTAGTTTGTTCTATCTTTCACTTTCTCCATAGGGTGTAGAGAACTTATAGTGAGATCATGAGGGGACAATATATGGTCAGCCTTAGTTAACCCAGATGGGGATGGTGTCTCTATTTCATATCAGCCAACGTGGCGCACATGCAGCCCAGCAATTTCTATGGACCCCTACTAGGAATATTTGTTGTTGTTGTTTTTTTTTTTTTCTTTCTTATTTCAGTTCAAAATAAAAGGGGAAAATCAAATGAAATTAACTGAAATCCAATCCCACGTAAGAGTAGGCGTTCAAATTTATGAGTGGAACCTATTTGATTTGATTTGATTTTGTCGTTCTAACATTCTATTTATATTCAAGGACCAGCCAAAACACTAGAATCTCACACGTCCAATTGAGTTGTTTATCTATTATAACTTAATTGTCATAGTTTACCAAAACTAATTAATTAGTTGTTATAATTTTAGAAACTATATATTCAATCTTTATATATGTTTTCTAACATCTTCAATTTCTATTTGGACATCTTTTTTTTAATTTATTTTTCTTTTCTATTTTTTTATTTTTTGAGAAATAGTAAAAATAAAAGAGAAATTTATATTTAAAAAATGAATAAATTACAATAACTTTCTTGAAGTAATGTGAAATTACAAACACTATTCAAAAGTTTGAACATATGACAAAACTCCTTTTACATTTAAGAAAAATATTAAATATACCTCTTTTTGAGCCTTAATATTCCCAAAGAGTCCTTAATTACTATTTAGAGAAAAAATATTCCCAAAATGCCATTAATTACTATTCAGATAAAACAGTAGTTAAATTTAAAAAAAAATAGAAATTAGAGAAAAAAATATTAAGACAAAATTAAAACAATTAAAATTGAATGAAATTAAATACTAAAACTAATATTGTTCATGTACTGAAAACAATCATATCTATTTTTTTATATACTTTTTTATCTAATTTTTTAATTCTTAATTTAAATATTTTTAATTGTAATTAAGGATATTTTGTGTATAATAGGGCTCAAAAGTAGGTTTGTGTAAAATTTTCTTAAACGTGGAGGGAATTTTTGTTAAGTGTTTAAATTTTTAGATGGTCTTGATAATTTCACAATACCTCAAAAAATTTATTTTAATTTACCGAGAGAGAGAGAGAGAAGTGAGAACGGTGAGAGATATTTGATAGGAAACAATGTATTTTTGCAACAAAGAACTACTTGAGCTATATAACTCATTAATTTGTGAATATATTATTTTATTTATTTTGATACCATAAAAACAAATCAATCAATTAATCTAAAAACTATAGCAAGTACTAAGCCATAATTAAGTAGGTCAAATTTTGTCTCCCTCCTTTTTGAGGCTCGTTTCTTGTGGAAAGACGATTAAAAAGCAAAACAAAGAACATTCTAATTTCTACCTGTCATGCTTCTCCAAAAAATTGTTTGGTTTATAGTATAATGAAAGGATGTTGTAGGTCGGCGTCAAATTAGTTAGCTTTTCGGCTAATTACATGCTCTAGTGGAGCACATCAGGTTAGGGTCCCATGAACACGTATGCCAGCATCTGCTTTCTGCTTCTTGATCAGATTATTGCGTGCCTCAGAGTCACAGTCGTAGTCATACCAAAATCTTCGTTCAAACATTTTTTTTCAAACAATCTTTTAAGAAAACAAACTTTGAAACTTCATAAGATATATCTGCGTGTATTTGATCCACTCATAATTATTTATTATTATGCAACACAATAATACAACCTTGGTTATTTATTTTTAATGTTGCAATCCTTTCATTAAGCTATTTTGAAAAATAACACATCTATTAAAAAAAAAATTACGAAAAAAGGTAAAAAAAAAAAAAGACCAAAGGATTTGAAACTTTTAAAAGCATGGCAGAGATTGGCACACATTAGTGATACAATTTTATATAAAAACTTTACGGGTTTTTTTTTTTTTTTAGATTTTCCTTTTTTTTTTTTTTTTATAAGAGACTCCAAGAATCTGATTGAAAATAATTAAAAAAAAATAAAAAAAAATCTATATTGATTGTAAATGCATATTAGAGATGTTACTTTTGTTTCTCTTTAAAAAAAAAAAAGTTTAATAAGGAAAAAAAAAAACCCAAAGAAATAAATGTACAAGATGTACTAATACACAAAAACTTCATAATTAACATCCACTATGTTATATATGTATTCCCAAGAGCCATATATATTGTGTGATTTGTAAACAATTATCCTTTTATGGCAATAAAAGATATATTCATTATATGAAAGTTGTTTATTATTCTGAATATCATCTTTAAGTTCTATTCTTAAAGATATTTAAAATATGGGTTATAAATATTTACGAAACAAAATACTTTAAGAGTTCATGATCATAGGATACTTAATTGGACATCATTTATCCCAAAGACTATCATTTATGTTTATTTATAATAGTGAGTCTCATGCTATTTAATATCTAATATCATAATAAACAAGTGGACACCTTTTTATAGTAGGTTGAATAGTGACTTACATGATGATAACATAAAGTTTTAAGCTGCTTGTCGGTGATTTATCATCTAAATTATAATAGTGCATATAATTCGTTGGTTTGAGTTGACACGGTTATCTCATATATAGGTGATTAGAGTTTGATACTCCTTACATATCTATGCTAGTCATTTATGGGTATATAACATGTTGTGGTCCTAGTTAGTTATGTGTAGGAGGTAAATGTTTAGCCAAGATGGAATCCATCACCTTGAGTAGACAAGGATAAGATTCTATGCCATCTAATTATTCTTGACAAATAAAGTTCCTAGTCGGGATAGATAGATTCACTAGAAAAAAGTTTCTAGTACGGGTCTTATAGTATAAAGAATTAAAACCAAGATGAGGTCATAGCATCTAAGCAATTAGGGTTTAATATTTACATGACCCTAGCTAATATTGAGATCTTGAAATGAAAGGACTCTAGCGAACGATAAAAATGTTCATTGGTTTCATAGAATGTACCTAATTGATTTAGTACATTTATCTTTGATTAGGTAGCCATGATATGCTATGCTAGTCATCACTTGTGACTTATAGGACTAAGGATACATTAGAAATATTCTTGAAAAAATAAAAAGAGTTTTCTCATGATATTAAATAGTTGAAAACATATTCTCATTGCTAATTAGACATGAATCTAGAAAGTCACACACAATAGAGCTTTTATCGAATAAACAATTGTTGTCGCGATTATTAATAATTAAAGTGTTTAATTAATTAATCGGAAAAAATAGAATTAAATTTGTAATTGAATTTACGATGTCTCTAGCATGTCTTGAAGTTTAATCCAAGTTAGAGTAAATTAATCAAGATTTGATTTATATAAGATATAAATTGAGAGTCATCGAGCTTTGGCAACTAATTAATATATTAATCAAGTAACATAATCTTAGTCTTGCACTACATGTCTTGATTAATGCATGCATGATAATTAGTGTAATCAAGAAACATAACCTTAGTGAAAAATTATGTCTTAATTGATACATGCATGATCACAAGTATCTTTTTAAGGAGAGAGTGTGTATCTTGCATTCTTTGATCTCTAATTCTCTAAGTGTAAGACACATATGACATAATCTCAAGAGAAACTTAACCCTTTTTATCACTTCAAGCTAGACTACTTGGTGGGAGTTAGAGATCAACTTTGGACAATTAAGAGAGAGGATCAAAATTAGCAAACCGAGTCTACGAATGAAGGCTCAATCGTGTATAATTTGTGTGGATGGACTAGAGGCTTTA